CACGAAATTAGGGGCAAACTGTTGGAGAAATAGGGGGTTAAAAAATAAATCATTAAATCATTGGCTTTAAGGTGTGCTGCAAATGCCACTTTCCTTTAGGTTAATTTCGCCCCCACCAGATCTAGCATGCAAAAGGAGTAACTCAAAATGCCCATAGGATACAATGAAGCGCCTTGTTGATCTAGCCTTTACACTAACAAGATCAACTACTGAACCATCCTTTGGAAAGCGACAAAACAATAGTTTTTGTATAGAGATTTCTCGAGTAATCGCAATACAAAAAGGAGCTATTTTATTTAGATATTTCTGGGTTCAAAAAGACCCTACAAGAGAAAAAAAGATAACTCCATATTTATAGGGCAAGATGTATGTTGGAATAGACACTTCTTTTCAAGATGTCTATTGGGAACAAACACTTCTTTTTAATTTTTATCTGTTGGAAACTCTTTCAAAAGTCATTTGATTTGATTTAAATTCCAACTCACATGTTTTTTTGCCTTTCAAAGTTATCCACTCTTTTTAGAAATTTATTTGAATTTTATCTCTTATTCTGGCGTAAATGATTCGAATCAGATAAATGTGATTCGAATCAAAATCGTAAATTTTTGGATTCTGGTTTTACGTAAATGGTTTGAATCATATAATTATGATTCGAACTCAAAGTTACACTTTCTCAAATGCATTCTGTATAATTGTTTCAAACCAATTTTTTATGATTCGAACCAAAATCTTGAAAATATTTTGAAAATTCTTCAACACAAACATGATTGAGATTTGAGTGGGTGATTCTTAGAGGCGATAAGGCAAGATAGAGCTGCAGCTTTTGAAGCGACAATGGTGAGATTCCTTCAATTGGAGCATTGAAATCAAGAGATGAAAAGCAGTTGAAACTAGAAATCGATTGAGGTGTTCAAAGAAATGAATGGGAAGGAGATACAACGTCACGGTTGGAGAAGAATAAATGGGTTATGACAGATGAGTTTTTCATTTAGTAAGGGGTAGATTGATCATAAAGGAAAAAGTAAAAATCTATCAGTTGAAATTAATGTAAATTAAATGATGTCAGTTGAAATTAAAGTAAATTAAATGAGAGTTTCACACCTAATATCTTAATTAATGCTTCGTATTTCTATAGAGTAGAAAAAACTATAAATAAATAAAGAGTTTTTAAAAGACACATAATAAGCATCATTCATTTATGACAATTGGAGCATTGAAATCAAGAGATGAAAAGCAGTTGAAACTAGAAATCGATTGAGGTGTTCAAAGAAATGAATGGGAAGGAGATACAACGTCACGGTTGGAGAAGAATAAATGGGTTATGACAGATGAGTTTTTCATTTAGTAAGGGGTAGATTGATCATAAAGGAAAAAGTAAAAATCTATCAGTTGAAATTAACGTAAATTAAATGATGTCAGTTGAAATTAAAGTAAATTAAGGACCTGTTTGGTATAGCAGTTAAAATTCAGCAGATTTCGGATAGTTGGTAGCGGATAGCAAATGACAGTAGCGAGTAACGGGTGGCGGTTAGCGGATAGCGGAAAGTGGGTAGTGGATGGTAAATAGCGGATTCGATAAATATAACTGTTTGGTTATATAATAGTTAGCGGTTGTTGTTTAA